GAAATTCCAGGAGCATAATGTATGCAGGGCCTCATTCCAATTACTTCAAAGAAGATGATTTAATATTATTTCACTGTTTACTTGAGGACAGGATATTTGTCTCATTTTTACACATACTGCTATTAACAAAAGTTATTAAACACCAACTAAAAGGGCAGAAAAATAAAAGGGCAGCACAACTATATGTGTGGGTAAGAAGAACACCCGCAGGGTTTCCTCTGTACTCTGTTTATCTGAATGATATTCAGAGACTCCGCTTTGGCAGAAGCACCAGTCCCTCTCCCCGCACGGGATTTAACAGTACACGTCTTCTGAAACCAAAACGATGACAAGTCATCTAACTTATGCTTTAGCAACAGGCGAGAATCATTGAAAAGCCAAGCTTGATCACATCTATGACCGCAGGAAATGCTACATCGAGGGCCCTGAGTTTGGCTGGTTCCACACTATTCCTACCTCCTTCCCACTTTCATTTCTTGTGCTATTGTTTCACATGTGAATCTCCCCGTAATTCCTTTGAACATACGATGTTATTTTACTTCATCTTTACAGACATCCTGCCCATTCCTCACTTCTGCACCCAGTACCAGGCTGTTCACCTTCCATGCAGCCTAGAAATCGAATAGATGAACCTACAGGGAGTGAGCTGCCTGTCACCAGAGGTATCCAGCTAAGAGCTGTGTGAGAAGGCAGTATCGAGGGAACCCTCCAGAGTGGAAGAGACTCTCACTAAGGAGGTACTAGTTGGAAACCTGGATAGAGTTAAAGAGGGGACAAAGAAAGGAAGGTTTCTTGGTTCTGTGTAACAACGTTAACTTCAAGACGCGTTTCTGAGAATCTTGAAGGCTCTCCCTCCAACCTAGACACAGGTGCATTGTAAGTAATGTTGGCAGGTTCCTGTGCCTTCAAGGCAAGATGAAAGAAGATGAGAATCACCAATACTAAATACACGAAGGACTGTCCACGGAAGCAACTAATTCTGAGCAACTCTATCGGGGAAGGCTAAGATCAATGTGTTCAAGATAAAGTACCACACAAGGTAAAGATCAATCTGGAGGTGCTCTCTTACCACGAGGTTTATCAAAAACTGGCAGGGAGCACCCTGGGAGGTGGTGAGCTCCCGACCCCCAGCAGCGCTTGACCAGGACCTCAGTGTCTGAGTGGGCTTGAAGAAGGAAGCCCTGTGGTGGGCAAGTTGTTAGACTAGCTCTGCCCGAGTCTCTTTCAGAGCTCACATGATTCGAGATGCTTGCAGCAATTTCACTTCTCTGCAGAGAGAACTCTCTTCCACTGTAGGACAGCCTGCCCCGTTATGTTAAAGGAGCAGCACGGCCTAGTACAGGCTCTGAATGTGGGGCCCAGGGTTTCAAGTTCAACGCCAGCTCTTACTAGCTGGATGACCCCTGGGTCATCTATGAAACTAGAATGCGATCTCCCCACAAGTTAATTAAGAAGAGTAAGTGCGGCTGTGCCTACTAACAGTGCCTGACAAAGAGCTGGCACCAGAAAGATGGTACTTATTATTAGGTTCAGAGAGAAATGCTCAAGTAGGTGATAAGGTCTTAAACCCTTCCTCTGTGACCCCTTGAATGATTCTTTCAGTAGGCACGCTGGTCCAGGACAGACCCTGGGAGGGAGGGTGTGCGTCGAGGCGTCGAGCAGGACTAAAGTGAAGGACGCAAGCTGCGAAGAGCAGAAGCTAGCTCAAATCCGGAATTATTTTTCAGTCTATGGAACTATTATAGATCGACATCTGCTTACTCCGGTGAAATGAGTGACGAGTTTTACCCTGTAGGAAATACTCCAGGGGTGAGATGTGAACACAGCAGCAGGAATACCCTTCTTGGAGAGAGTAAGGTTTCGGAGACTAGCTCAGACCTCACTGAAGCTGATGGACAGACAGCCCGACTTAACTCGGACTTACGATTTTTTGACTTTACAATGGTGCACAAGCAACACACATTCAGTAGGAACATCACTTTGAATTTTGATTTTGGATCTTCTCCTGGACTAGCAGCACGCAGTACGATCCTCTCTGATGAAGCTGGGCGGCAGCCACAGCTCCCCACCAGCCACTCGGATACACTGAGCTCCCCCCCGCCATATTCTGTTTCTCCCCTTCAGCACAGTATTCAACAAACTACTTGAGATATTCGATACTTTATTATAAAATAGGCTTTTGTGTTAGATGATTTTGCTGTAGGTTAATGGAAATGTCTGGAGCACGTGCGGGGTAGGGGAGGCTCAGCTCCGATGTTCAGTTGGTTAGGTGTACTAAATGCATTTTTGACTTGTGATATTCTCAACTATGATGGATTTATTGGGGCGTAACCCCATCGTTAGCTGAGGAAGATCTGTACCATGCAAGGGTTGTAATTATTCATCAACAACATGGTCTCTAAGAAAGACTTTCTATTTCCTCAGGAAAGAGGCTGCTGGCCACTTGTAAGAGGTTACATGCTCAACACTGGGGGTTTGCAATTTCGGAAAAGCTCAGAGAAGGAAACAAGTACCGCTACTGGAGGAAAAGCCGGTACAATCTCGGGCATCAGCACCTACGCATCATCCGCGCGGCTGTAAACACTTACAAAGCTGTCAGCGTCTTACAACGAATAGTGAAGTAACACATGCGATCAGTGAGCGAGTGGGGGTGTTTTTCCACCGCGATCCACACGCTGTGCAGGAGCAGCTGCCTATCAGAGGAGTCCCTGTGCCGGATGCTTTTTCTTTTAATGTCAACAGGAACTACCGTCCATAACTGTAAGGGGGAAACTGAAGTTACTGGTGAACTCAGGCCCTCTACTAAGGGACAGAGGGAACAGCAAAATAAACACACAGAAAAGAAAGCAAGTGTATTATATTTTCCACTGCAATACTACATATGATTTAAAGACCACTATTTCTTACTATTTTAAACAAGGAATAACATTCAAAAGTATAAGGTCTGAAGATACTTGGCATTTCTGTAAACACATTTTAAGGTCATAGATGGGTCAGCCTAATGGGAATACTCAACCCTAGTATGGAGAAGTTACAGTTAAAAGTCTCATTACCCAATTCCCACAGGTGAGGGTCTCGGTGGGCAGGTAAGTGACTCATCTCGGCAACTGACACCTCTGGTTTTGATTTTTGATTTTGATTTTTGCATCTGAAGGCCACAGAGGTTTCGGGTGTTATCATCACAACCCCAGGCAAACCACCCACAGTCTCCAGGGCTATTTCAAAAGCACAGAGTTTTAGCATAATGGTGCACATCAGATCAAAGTGGTACAGAGGTAAATCAGCACCATTTCAAAATGACTTGGTGTTACTTGGTGTTCCCACTTGGTTTCTTATTTTGATAGCCTGCGTGTGTGTGTGTGTGTGTGTGCACGCACGCGCGTGTGTCGGGGGTGGGGCAGTGTAGAGGGCGTGGGGGCAGGGGGGGCGGTCTGTGGGGGTGGTGGGTAGCAAAGCTAGTTAGCATTTAGGGAGTCCCAGTTCTAGCTGCAATTCTGACAGAGGCATTGGAGATGAAAAATCTTTAAAATGAAAACTGATACACTTGCCTTCGGAATTTAGGACGGCATTGAGAGCTCTATGCAGGATGAATATGGAAAGGCAATGTATAATACATCACTGTTTTATTCTGGAAGAGACCCATGGCAAATATAGTGGGAATACCTAAGCAGAGACACTAACACAGTGTACAATGGTGGTGAGGAAAAAAAGCACTGAAAATATGCAGTTTGATTTTCTTCCATTTTTCCCTTCTTCCTGATTTCTTGGATTTACAATAAAAAAATAAGCTATGGGAAAAAAAAGTCCACTGTAATTCCTAGCTTCTTGTAAATTCCCAACGTTATGCAATGTTTATTTTAGCACAGATGGACGGGGGGCTACCAGCACACAGGTACCCTCCACTCCCTACTTCTGTCTAGTCTCCAGAGAGGCCCTGCTATGATCAATCTTCAGTGAATGAAGGGTAGTCACCAAATCTTTACAGAATTCAGAAATACATCTCAATGAATAAATGCATTAGATTTTACTCATTTTGTTCATTATGACTATTTCCAAATGCAATTATGGCCTACATTCTGTAACCATATACCTAACTTTCTGTATCTGTTGTCATTAAATCTTTTCACTGTCTTGTTTGGCAAGTCTGTACCTTCCGCTCTAGAATTCTCCTCCCCTCTCTGGTCCCTAGAAAACATCCCCTTACATTTTTGTTAAAAACTCACATGCATGAGTATACCCACACACCTAAAATTGTGTGTGTGTGTATAGTGTGTGTACACACTCACAAAACTTCAAATGAAAGAATGATCTCTCTACAGAAGGGTTTCAGCAAGGATCATACAACACAAATTCATTAAAACACAACCCTGAGCTATCTATTCCCAAAGTGTAAAATTTTAAAAGGGAAATGAAAGTTTCTTCCTTAATCATGGTAACAAGACAACCAGCCTTGAGGGAGAAATCTCAGGCCTTGACTTTAGTATGTCACTCCTCAAGCCAAGACGCTGCTTCAATGGCACATTAGTTTGCCAGAGGAAATAAGAGCTTGAGATTTCAGATGGTGCCAGTAAACATAATCTGAAGCCACTATCTCACCTTTTATTAGTAGGTAAACAAACACCTACATCCAGGCACAGAAGCCTGCCCGATATGACAAATTCCTTCGATTCAAATTTCAAGTGGCAAGGACAAGTCCACTAGTGCTGGGCGGCTTTGACACTTCCTTAAAGGGACTAACAGGCTGGCTTCTCTAGAGAAACTGCTTCATTATTCGGATTTGTAGTCTCAGCACATAAACACAGAGTCTGGTTCATGGGAGGGGTTTAGTATATGTTTATAAAATAAATATTTACTTCTTAGACAAAACAGAAAGAGCTGTTGTGGTCAGAGAATACTGCAGATAAAATGGTCTGAAATAAACCATGGATACTATTTACGAGAATGACAACGTGAATTCATTTCTCAGAAACATAAGCAAGAGTACATGCCCCCGGGAATACCTTGACAACAGCCGTGATGTGCTCCAGGGCCACAGCGTGAAGGCTCTCATCCTGGCTCTCGAGGAGAAGTTTCAGGGCCGGGAGCAGCAGGGACTGGCTAAGCAGCAGTGAGCACAGCTTCTTCACGGCCTGAAACCACAAGTACAGTTCTGTGAGCAAAGAAGCAGGAGGTACGCCGTCTCCCAGGTGCTATTCAGGTGGGCTCTCCTTCCACACCTTTTTGTATGAATGATGTGTGTCTGTGTATACGAAGCACAGGTGGGGCCCCACCGATTGAGTGTTTGGTAGCTGCTTCATTCACTTCACAATAGATAGTAAACATCTTTCTGAGCTATCAGATATCTACCTGATATTCATCAGATATTGCATGTAAAGGCTGCCTAGTATCACCCTGGATGGATACAGGACTGTGGTCTATTCTCCTAATCTCTCGAGAGCCCTAGTTTCCTCACCAGCAAAGTGGAGGTAATTATATCAATTTTGCAGTTTTGTGTGTGTATGAGAATAAGTGCTAATGAATAATAACACACAATGCTCAGCATCTATTAGACACTTAATATTACCAACAATATCTAGTTGTCCTCTGAAACAAGAAAAATCAGCAACTTAAATATTTAAAAACCTGTTTATAATTCTAATGTCAAGGTGAACTGAATGTTTCATGAAAACTATCTGTGGTCCAGAAAAATGAAAATGTATTTGGATCTCCACATATGCATTTGAATTTTATTCTCAGCGCTTTATTATCCTAGCTGGACCTGTCATCAGAGAGCAGAGTTTTATATAAGATAACAAATGATAATCCTTCACAATGAAAGTATAAGAGAATAGACAATAAATTTGCAAGCTCTTCCTCCCCTGGTGTCCTAACTAGCTGTAACATAAAGAACAGAACATCTGGACCAAGGACCAGACAATGAGTGCAACCTCATTATACAAGGCAAGGCTTATTTTTGAAAGAACTGAGAAATTGCTGCCCACCCCCGTCGCCATGGGACTGATCTTTCTCTTGAACTCCTCTAACAGTAGCATATCAGAGAAGAAAAACTCAGAATTTATGACATTTTCATAATTTCCTTACATTATTATAAAGTGTCGGTAAAACAAGAAGCTCCTATTTAAAGCCCGGGATAAAGGCCTCTTTGGCATTCCGCTCACTGTAGTGTTTTGACCTTTCCCCTTAGCGCATCCCTGCTGGAAATCAGCAAGGCCTTCAGTTTCAGATTGGGAGGTCCTGCTACATGCACTTGTGTGAACATCATCAATACCAGCAGGGTAACAGGTTTGTCAAGTATGTACTTCAAACATCAGGGATTCCAACTCAGAAGAGTGCTTTGTGTGCCCTAAAGCACACAGTCATAAAGAACAGTCTCACCGAGCATCTGGGCCAGACAAATGTAGATTTGTAATCTGAGATGCCAACACCTGCAGAGAGTATTTGGGAGGATGAAATATAAACTCCCATACATGACAATTTCACACAGCTCTCATGCACCAACTTGCTTCTGTTGCCCTCCTCCTCCTGGAACATCCCAGCAATGCTCCCCCCACCTGCACATTCCTCAGACAGCGCTGCCCAGGAGACCTTCCAGCCACCATGGAATGTTCTGGATCTCTGCTGTCCCACACAGCAGCCAGGAGCCGCATGTTGGCTAGTGAGCATTTGAGATCTGCCTAGTGTAACTGAGGCACCGCTTTTAAATTTTTATTCAACTGGCCTTAAGTTTAAATTTTAGTAACCACACATGGCCCGTGGCTACCGTCCTGGAGGTAAAGCAGGCATGCTGAGCGCCCACACACCTCTGGGTCTGTGCACAAGACTTAACCTCGACTGCTTCTCCGTCTGAGGGACCCCTATTGGTTCTTGGAGTCTCAGCTGGAAAACGGCACAGGAAAACCCCAACTCCTACAAAGCCACCTCTGATTTCCCAGACCCGGCACTCCTATACTATACTATACTCCTATACTATACTCCCACTATTACTTTGTAAATATTTCCTACACTGTTGTCTTGCATTATTGTAATTATTCATTTGTTCATCTGCCTCACTTGAGGGCAAGAATATTTTCCCTTCTCTGTATTCCAAACTTGCTTGGTATACACTATACCTTAAAATATTTGTATATAATACCCTCTCAGCATTCATATCTACTCATTCACTAAGTTATCAGTAATAGGTAAAGAGGTATTTCTCAGAACTTTATGATATTTAGACTAAGCACTGCACTTGGTTGACCTTAGCTTTGATGACAACTTTTATCAAAATAACCTGGGTACCCCCTGGAGCAGGCAACATGGACAGATGATGATGAAGTATGTTTGCCTAGCTGTCTAGGACAGGGTACTCAAAGGGACTTACCTTTTCCTTCATCCCTGTTTCCTGTCCCCTGACTACGTTCCCATATTTAGAGGGTTTGTTTGTTTTTTTTTTCCTTCATGACTCTTTAGAATGCCTTTATGTCAGGCCTGCTGCTGCTCATGGTACTTGCTGACTTATGGCCAGGATGGTTTTGCTGATGGAAAACACTACCTGGAGGATAAAATCAAGGACATCTAAGAATGGAGGAGTACTTTTTGAGCTACTGAGTACTTTTTAATCTCTTAGCTAACAATTATTGGCTAAATACTCCATATTTAACTACTATGACTATGTTCTCTGGGTAGTTTCCCCTCTGTTGCAAGAAGACAGTTTATCAGGAGATTTATAGAGCTCTAAGAAAGGTCAAAGTAGCAAAGAGAACCCTAAAACACCCCATAGGCACCTTCCCAGCTCAAACCCGTCTAGCCATCAAGATACAGAACAAGAGACCTTGAATGCAGAGGAACAGGCGTGTCTGGGCCAAAAGCCAGGCCAGAACGCTGTGGACTGCGTTATATAGTGACGCCCTGGGGCACGGTTCCTGTGGCTGATGGTTGTCAGAGTAGCAGGACCAGTCCACCGACAGTCTTTCTGTCCTTACACAGCCCTCCTGTGCTCATTCTGGGGTATCCTACGCCCAAAGATGTGGCAGGGCCTGCAGAAGGAATACAGGGCACGGTGTACAGGGATGGGTGTCACCTGATCTGAAAATCAAACTCACAGACTTTATCAATAGTACCTCAACCATGAGAGGGAGCAATCACATTGAGATTTAGAGGCTGGAGATCAGCTAGGCTCACTCATCAGCTGGGCGTCTAACTCCCATCCACCTGATCCAAAGCCCCTGGGACTCTAGTTCACGCTGTGCCTCCACGGGGAGGGGAGGAGGACCGGGGACCTTCAGGGTCGGTCATAAATAGCTGGAACTTAGAACTTTCAATCTGTCAATGCCAGGAATCTGTTTTGTGCCCATTTTCATTCTGAATATCCCCTGTTCCTGAGAATGTTTCATATATTGCCATAGATACAAGCTAAGAAGAAGGATACAGAACTTTCAAGACTGTAGGACATATGACCTATGAGCAACATTGATTTTATCCTTCTGGTAACATTTTTCACCAGCAAAACTAGAATGACCAGAAGTAAACAAGTACCAGGAACAATAGCAGGCATCATGTAAAGACGTTCTCAAGAGTCATGAAGAACAAAAAAATCTCTAAATATGGGAACTTAGTGGGGTATGGGAAATGCAGATGAAGCAAAAGGTAAGTCCCTTTAAGTACGCTGTCCTAGGCAGTAAGGCACACGTACTTTATAAACCATAGAGTAAGGCAACCAAAGGTACTGGGTTACAAAAAAGTGAGTCATGGATAATTTTCCCACCACGGTGATATTAAACATTATGCAGTTCTGAAATTAGACTGTGTAATTTCCAAATGCAGTAAAATAAACTTAACAAGACATTTCCATTTCTTAATTACAATGTTCCTTCCTTTGTAACAATTTTAACTCACACTTGAGCACAGTTAACAATCAATAAAAATAGTACATAACATTGGCAAGATTCCTTTAATCATGGCATCCTAAGACAAAAATCTGTATGTGTACCCAGTTAAAAGACAGCACTGAGGCAGTATAAGGAAAAATAAACAAAAGAAACTGTGGCAACACAACTCATTTGAAAATAATTACCCTCTCTTCTCATCAAACTGGAACACAGAAGTGATAAGGACCTCCTTCAAAATGGGGTTTAATCCAGTGCCCTTCTCCCACCCCTGAGAGAACTGTGGACCTATGGAAAAGTTGTGAATCCTAAACAGATAGCCTCAGGTCATCCTCCTCCAAGGCCCAGAAACCTTGAAGAATACTCAGAACTAGAGCTCCCCTGGAGATCACATAATCGAACTCCTTGTTTCAGAGGCCAGAAAGGGTAGGTCCGGAGCGTCTGGTGCTTTCCTCATGAACACAGATCATGTGTGGCCCCGTGTGGACGGTACAATTTCATGCCTCTCCGGGACTCCTGCTGCTGTAGTACGTCTCACGTCCCCTGCCCTTCAGGTGCTCCCAGTCCCAATGAAGAGGAGAAGCAAGGAGATCCCTCTCTGTGGTGTGTGAGGAGTACTCTAATAGACGTGTGCTTAAGGCACTGTGCTATCCATTCTGTTTTCCCTAAAACACTCAGGAATCACTGGTCCGAAGATTCTGAGATCAAGCAGGGCCATTGCAAATAAAATATTACTCCATTTGTCAAAGTGCCTCAAGCTGGCCGTAGAAGCGGATTGGGGAGCTGAATCCTTACAGCTATTTAGCTTCTCCTTTAATCACTGACTCCCTTTTTTTTAAATAGGAAATACAAAGTATCACTTATTATTCATTAGTCAATAAAAAAGAACAACATACTTTTCCCTCCATGTCCTAGGAGGTCACCCCCTAAACTTCAAATACAATGCTGACGGTACTCATTACTGCTTTGGATATTCAGAGATTATCACCCATCACCGGGTGGCTGAACGCTAACACACGTAACTGTTACTGAACCTTGATTACAAAACTAACAGTATAAGGTCAAGATCAAAGAAGCCACGGCCATGTTCTCAGCTAACTTATACCTCAGAACTAACTATAGTAAAACCAAACTGATGAGGATATTTAAATAAACTAACAAACTTCCCCAGGTAATGATGGAGATCCTAACACCCTTCCACCTAAAACACAGATAATGTAGGCCTTACAGACTACAGGTCATTCTTGAAGAAATACCCTAGGAAAGGGGGGAAATGACAGTAAAACTTACACAACTACATAAAACAGTCAATATGCAAACACCTCAAGTGCAGTACGAGCGGCTCCTGAGGAAGTTATTTTCCCAACATTCAAGCAGAGCCTCCGTTTGGGGACCAGGTCCGCCATCTGTTGCCTGAGTGACCTGGAGCAGGACCTTTGCTCTCAGAGCTTCTGTTCCATCAGCTGAAAAATGAAGGTCAAGGAACCTCCTTCGGGTGATGGCGAAGGTTAAACCAGATAGTGGGAGTGGGAGGCCGAGAGTGCTAGCGGACACCGGTCGTCACCATTACTCAGCTTGCGACCCTAAATCACGTTTCCCCAACTAGGTTCAGCAGAACTGGTGGGGTCCTTCTGGCATTTGGTCCTGATCTAACAAAGCTTGATCTCAGCTTCTGTTAAGGCCAAGATGAACCCTTCATTATTTACATACTACTCACCCTGGTGGGGACAATAAACTGCAGTGAGTCCCCACTCCATGTAGTACGTTGAATCATGCCGTGGGCAAGAGAGGGGTGACACAGCCCGGGTTCCAACCCTCAGGGGCCCACAATATAGCACAATCCATCACAGGTAAATAAGTAGCTGATACAAGCAAATCATACACCATGGTATAAAGGGAAGTTATTTCTGGTGGTGGTACTTTAAATATTTTATAGAAGAATTTTGTCATTCTGGTAGTTGGAAGACTTCTTTAAATGGATAAAATATTTTAAAATTCAATCAGAAAACACTTAGCCAGTCCCTCATTCAGAAAACAATTCATTAAATGTACATTCCTAATGAGAATATTTTCCTTGAGTGATTACAGTGAGGATTTGAAAAATCATATTTACAACTTTATGTTCAAGTTTACCTCCTATGTGGTAGAAATTTGAAAACCAATTAATCAATTTAGTGCCATTATCCAAATGCTTACATTTAAGACATGTAAAAATTGCTCAAACAATACACTGCTAAGCTCGGATTCACAGCAGGAAGCTGTAATTAATATGTGCTTATTTGAGAATGCACAAATTTATATATATATTAAGCAAATACCTCAGTGACAGCCAAATTATGGGAGCAAAGAGAATGATGGTCAAAGTGGAGGTGGCTGAGTTTTTCTCACGTTTACAGAGAAGGCACGTCACAAGGAGAGTGGCTGGCTACCTGGCGAGACGGGCGCTGGGGCTTACTGCTTCGTTCTCCGCTGGCCCGGTTTGGGCAGAGAGAGCACACGGGCTGGCTCCCAAGACCCCCGGGCACGGGAGCTCGAGTTAGACATAAAAGGGCATCCAACAGGAACTGAAAGCTGAGTTACACTTTGGGACTTGTAAAGGGAATAGGCTTCAGAGCTCCAGCAGAGAGAAAACTACCTCAAAGCACCCTCTCAGCACGGCTCTATCTTCATTTGATCTATTCCAAATTACGGGCCTTCACTTCCTGATAACTTAAGCTAAGTGTGCCTCAGGCACAGTTGCTGACACGGCTTCTCATTAAGACTTTGGATAAGGGAAGGGATGCCCCCCAGGAAAACCACTTGAAATATCCACTCACCTCTGCAGGGAGCATCTGCTTGGTGTTATATAAAGAGCGGCAGATTTTCAAGACCTCATTCCCCAGTCCTTCCTTGTTCTCCACTGTACACCTGCTCAGCATCACGGTCACCAGCCGCACCCACGGATTGCTGGTTATGTCGGTTCTGAGGGGGAAAAACGCGAGGCACTGGCAATGAATGATTAATGTTGTAACGACTGGGATGCGAAACATTAAGAAAGAAGAGAAATGCCACCTTGGGAAGTAAAATGCTTTTTGGCAAACTGCAATCACAGTCTAGATGATATGTTCCTTCAAGTCCCTCCTGCAGAAAAGAGAATACCTTCCAGAGAAGAAAGAGCTTGCTGTGGTATCAGTAGGTGCCCAGGAGTGCGGAGGCCGCGGGCGACCTGGAGGCCAGAGCTCCCGACGGGCTCCCAGGCCAGCTCCCTGGCTTCCCACCTGGGTGACTCAGGGAAGTCACTTCAACACTCTCAGCCCAGACACTCAGTGCTGGGGAAGCCACTCAACCTCTCTGGGCCTCAGTTTTTCTCTTTCTGAGAAAGCAATTTAATGTTCTCCTTACAAAACTGCTTTATTCGGTGAACGATGTTTGTAACTGTGCCTTCTCAACAGCAAGCACATCTCACTATTTACCACCTAAACACTGGCTTTTGTTGATCCGATGATGAGGATGAGGCCTCCGGGGCCAGGCAGGGCAGGAGTGAAGGACAGTAAGGGCAGTACGCAGCGGAGATCAGCCTGGAAGCACACGATCACACTGTGCCCTTCACTCAGTTTCCTTCTTTCTTTTTTAAGATTATATTTGTTTATTTGTCAGAGAGCGAGAGAGCACAGGCAGGGAGAGGGGCAGAAGGAGAAGCAGGCCTCCCGCTGAGCAGGCAGCCCAATGCGGGGCTCCATCCTAGGACCCCAGGATCATGACCTGAGCCGAAAGCAGCAACTTAACCAACTGAGCCACCCAGGCATCCCGTTTCCTTATTTCTAAAACATAAAAGCATACAAAAGTTACTTTTTGTCTCCCTTCTCTGGATGTCACTACCCCGTGTTTCATACAAACCTCACGATTTACATTTCCAGAGACAAGTTAAAGATACATTCATTTCCTGGCCCCAGGAACAGGTTATCAATTTTACTTATAGTGTTTTTAAAATAATTTTACTATTTGTAAGAGTCTGTTCTCTTTGCACAGCTCTAGATTCTAGACACTAAACACCTAAGGTGGTTCTTCCCTTAAAGGACTTCACTCCTTGCCCCCTAAGAAAAATGTCAAGTGTAACAATGACAAAGGGACTCACAATACTAGCCTTTGGCAAAGCCTTTGTGTCTCAGCTCAAACTACCACCGTGTGAGGACAAAGAACACTGCTTATTTGTACGAACAAAGCTCTGAGAAGGTCTGGTGGACTGGGGAGTCTTCTTACACTCAAGGACTCACCCTCTGCTTTTCTCTTTCAAAGTCTGAATTCCACTCTCCTGGGTCTGCACTAAGGAGCTGCCTCACTGCAGAGGAGGTACTGGCCTGCCAAACAGTGCACCCGCGATGGGCCATGTGGCTTCAACGACAATTAGCAAAACATATTTTTCACCAGCCAGTTTTGATACACTGGATGAGAATTGTAAGTCTCCCATAAGTATGAATCTATTACGCTTTTCGTGCATTTTCCTACAAGGGAGTAAAACTAAAAAACCCAAGTTGGTTCTAGTAAATGAGGAGTCATGTAGATCAAGCAAATTTCTTAGTTTTTAACTTTATTATGTTAACTGGCAACATTTAATCATTGCCACACTATCCTTCCCTTCCTCCTGCCTTTCCTGGTCTTTCTCCCCTCGCCCTCTTTTTGGGGGTCGTTATTCTGGAAGTACTGAAGTCATACTTGGATTATCTGCCAACCAAAAAAAGGTACTCAAAAGTACTTTTAAGAACCTATTTCTAAAGTGTCCCATCATAAGTCTTTTGTGGTAAAACACCAATTTGGGCCAGGAAAAAGCTGAAACAGACTTTATTTGACTTACCCTCAGGTCCCCTCTTGGATTGGAGACATGGCTGGTAAGAGGGGTTAAGTGGACCGGTAATGCTTTGTTTTGATTCTAATGATTTCATAAAGGAGGTTTTTAAAACACAGGATAGCAATTTACAAATTTCACTTCATACTGGCTACAAAAGAAAGAATGTACCTTTAAAAACTAAGATTTTTAATACCCGCAAATGCATTAAATGTTTAACATGCAATACATGTCTTAAGTGAAGCTGATTTTACTTCTTGTGGGTAAGCGAGTGATTTGAAATGGTCACTGTTCTAAAAGTTACAAGAAACTGTAAAACCACAGTAAACTAACGTACTAGAGGAGGTTGTACTATGATTTTGAAAAATTCTCTTTAGAACGAGAGGGCCATTTTGAGGGCATGAGAAAACCTACAATGCAACCCTAAACCCTTTGCTAAAAAAGCAAAGCATAACTGACAATCTAATTAGTGGGTCCCACATCTACTGCACAATATCATCACAGAGGAGCTGGTTAGAAACTGATTCCCTGGCCTCATAGAGAGAGCTAAAAGATTTTATTTATTTGTGTGTGTGAGAGAGAGAGAGAGAGCACAAGCAGGGGAAGCTGCAGGCAGAGGGAGAAGCAGGCTTCCCGCTGAGCAGGGAGCCTGATGTGGGGCTCCATCCCAGGATCCTGGGATCATGACCTGAGCCGAAGGCAGAAGCTTAATTGACTGAGCCACCCAGGCGCCCCCAAATCAGATGCTATTACTAAGCATGATCTGGTATGTCTGAGTAAAATATCTGCATGTAGGGGCAAGGAGAAATGGAGAGAAACTGCAATATTTCAAATAAATAATCTTAATTTCCGCTAAAGGCTAATATTGGTTTTACATATTTCTTTTCATTGCTTCTTTTGAAGGTACTGAATTTTTAAAACTCAAGAGCAAACAAGAGAAATCTAATTTTATATTCACACTTACACAGAGTCATGTCTCATAGGTGGCCAAGCTTGCAAGAGCAAAACCAAGTGCTGAAATTCCACCTCTTGGCGACTGGATTCCAGGAGTTCCGAGAAGAGGGCATAGCGGTTCACTTCATTCTCAATGTCAGCTATGTCTACCTGGAAGTGGAAATACACACTTGACACTGGTGGCAAAGGCTACTTCACTGGTTTACAGAAGAATTCAGATGTGATGACTTTGATTAAACACTCCTGAAAATGTTTACACTGTGTCGAGAGATAGATTCAACACCACCACCCTCACCCACAAAATCTTCAAAAGGCTCTAAGCCTTACCCAATTTCAAAGGTTCTTAATGTTCTTTACAAAAATAAATTCAAACAAGTATAGGACTGGTTTATTGATATTTAATATTATTATGTTAAAATATGGAATTATTATATAAAAAATAGTAACAGTTCATCATACTTAACATTAGCCAATTGTTTTTCTTTTAAATTATCCTAAATGTATTTCTACTTTTCATTTTAGCATTATTATTATTGTTAAGTCTTCATACTGTCTAGAAAATTTCTCTAATTTGAAATTAAAAATTTGACTAAAGTGCACTTCTCAGGGGCGGAGCAAGATGGCGGAGGAGTAGGAGACCCGGGTTCCGTCTGGTCTCAGGAATTCAGCTGAATAGGAATCAAACCATTCTGAACACCTACGAACTCAACAGGAGATCGAAGAGAAGAATAGTAACAACACTCTGAACAGAAAAGTGACCACTTTCTGGAAGGTAGGACGTGCGGAGAAGTGAATCCGAGGCGATATTCGGGAGGATACACAGCGGGGGAGGGG